GGCTTATTGCTTAGTCCCAGTTAGCTGAACTGCTCAAAAAAGATGGTACGGCAGAAGCAAACTGCAGCTCTTAACAAAAAAAAAAAAAAGATTTTTTTGGGTCTAGCAGCAGCACAAGGATTGTATTGTACAAGTAACAAAGGGACTTCTTCTATCAGCTACGTGCTCCTCAGGACGATGGTGGTGGTTCACAACACATTGGTCTTTGCAGCTCTTATTTTGCATGCCTAAATTCAGCTCCCAGCTCTGTTGGCTCCTAGGGCTGCCATAGGCTTGGGACCCAGAAGGATTTGCTCTGGTTAAATGGTTTCAAGTATTAAATAGTGCATTCTGGTTTGAACCTCCTAAAAAGAGAACTATTTGGGGCTCAGCCTGGCTCCTGTTTCATTCCTTGTGCTCTGGATTTGTGCTTACTCAATGGGTGTGATGTAATGGAATTTGCAAGCACAATTTCCACCCTCTTCTCCCCAACCATTCATTAATCTAAACTCTTCCTGCTGCATTTTCCCAGCTGATCAGTTTAATTTTCCCTTTTGTCGCATGCAGTTTTTTTACCGTACCCTTCTGAAACTATTCAAATAGTTGTTAGTCGTAAAAAGGAAGGCTCACACTTGCTCCAGCATCCTGGCTCCTGAGACAAAGGTAGTTGGTCCAAGCTGCACACTGAGCTGCAAAGCTTCAGGTTCTCCACGTTCTTTAAAAGGGGAAATCTCTCAACCTCTTTTTTTTTTTTTATAGTAAGTTTTCGGTTTTGGGGGCTCTACCCTAGCAACAAAGAGCACACCCCGTGCCTTACTCCGGATGGCCTCTGAGGTGGCACTGAAAGGCTTCTGTAGTTTAGTCCCTCTTTTCTGATGCCATGTGAAGGAAGAAAATGGGAATCTGGTATCTTCCTGTACGACAACTGATGTATGCTGCATCACGACACACCACAGAAAACAGTATATCAGTGCCTTTTCTAGACAACTTGTAAGGACTAGCAAGTCACTGATGCCTTTGCCATACAGGCCTCTCAAAATATTGCCAAAAATCTATTATGATTCATCATAGCTATGTTTTATGGTATACAAGTGACATGGTCCTACTTAATCTCTGACCCGATGCTCCTTGTATGTGTGTTACAGAACTTCTGTGCAGATTTCTGGAGGTTTGTGCTCCTACAATCCAGTGGAGTTTAGCATAAGTCAGATGCCTCACTCCAAATTGTCTGCCTCTGGCCAAAGGTGACGTTGGCCTGCTTGTACATGTTGGTGTAGTAGATTTCCAAAGTTCATTCTGCTTATAGGGTATTGGTAGCAGTAAGATCTCCTGGGGTGGAGGGCAGAAGGGTGCTTGCCACCACTACAGTGGCTCTCTGGAAACTATCAGGGCTTTCTTGATTTTTAATGTAGTTGCTAGTGACTTTTCTACTTATAAACGTCTGAAGCCCTTTATACAGTGCGATTTCTGAATACTTCTGAGTGGATAAGGTATTTTGTGATAGTTTAGCACTGATTTGTTTTCTGCCCCTCAGTAGCTACAGTATTTTCTACAGAAAACTAAGATTAAATCTAACTTTGCTCTACACTGCCTCACTGACTAATGCTCTGTCTTAGATTTTACAGTAGACTTACTTACTCTTGAGTTTTATGGAAAAATATTCTGTGGGCCAATAAGTATAAAAACCCACTTTAAACCAACCTTGTTAACAGTGTCTTAACTTGCTAAAGTTAACAGCAGGTTGTTACATCAAGGACCAAAGCAAAACATCATTCTGTTCCAAAGTGTTGGATTAGAATGAAGCTTGCTTAATGGTTCAGGGCAAACTTGTACCATCTAGCAAAGAGATGATCGCTATGTTTCCTCTTAAATTGTGTCACTTGAGAATAGCAGCAATGCCGATTTTTAATGTTTATTTTTTTTCTAATTGATCACTTGTGCCATACGGAGGAGAATGACTGTGAGGAGTGAAAGGTCTGAGCAGTGGAGCTGTGCAAGCACTAGTTAAATCTTCCCTGCTCCCTACACTCTACCCTGCTGTAGCTTAGGGTGTGTGCTGCATGTGGTGTACATTAAGTTGCTAAATCCAATGGTAATTCTCTAATTGTGTGACCAGAACATCACTGCTCTGTCTGAAACCAAAACTGCCAGTCTGGGACGGTAACCTTAGACGCACGTTGACTTTCTTTGCCATCACCAGGCAGCTTTAAACAAGTTTTTTGCTGCTTAATTTCTTTATACCAATCATTCATATTCCATGGGGGAGAAGGGAGCAGAAAAAAGCTACTTTTGACTTGCACAGAGACCTGTAGCCACAGCTAAGAAAGAGGATGCTTTTGAGATGGGGTAAGTGCTCTTCAGACACAAGGGAGAAGAGTTTAGCTGCATATTTAGTTCAGACCTGCTGTCTGAGGTAGTAAGAGACCAGTGAGGGGCAAAAAGTGTTGTGGGCATTAGGCTTTAATGCAATGAACTGGCCTGCCTGCAGCTCCTATCATAGGTGTGAAACCACTACTGTTGCTAAATGGAGTCTTTGGCGCCCAAAGCACTGGTGATGGCAAAGGGTGACTGGCAGATAGCATATGAGCACGGTAAAACGTGTTAAGACTTTTTGGCCTCTAATGACACATGGTGTGGTCTGTGCCGTCCAAGTCCTGTTGATTTGCGGATATGTGATACGAGTGGCTCTCGTCCTACAGACACTTCAAAGTCTCTCTTTGGTGTTTTGAAAAACTATATTCCGCTTTGTGCGTGTAACCAAGTTGAACAGAAAGCGATTTGTGCCAATGCTGTTTACATGACTACAACATGTAATGCTCCTCTGCCTAATGTTACCACATGCCTTATGTGTTTCAAATGTTAATTAAAAGCATAACAAAATCCTTCCAGGCCTGCTGCTGTCATCTATGGTAAAAATGTTTGTGCTAAAGATCCTTAACATATGCTTGAGCCCCCAGCCAGCCTCTTTTATTTTTGCCCATGGCCCATCACAGCAAGCCACACGTGCCTCCCCTTCCCCATCTCCACCCCAAGCCTGTATGGCTCAATGGCCTAAGCCCTCCTCCCATTTGAGGGGATTAGATTATTCAAAATCTTAAATTCTTACCAGTTGAAGTCAATGCAAATCGATAAAAATGGAATATGCTTGAGACCCCAGCCAGCCTCTTTTATTTTTGCCCATGGCCCATCACAGCAAGCCACACGTGCCTCCCCTTCCCCATCTCCACCCCAAGCCTGTATGGCTCAATGGCCTAAGCCCTCCTCCCATTTGAGGGGATTAGATTATTCAAAATCTTAAATTCTTACCAGTTGAAGTCAATGCAAATCGATAAAAATGGGGAGGGGAGCTGAGATTTATAGAAGACAAGATGCAAGACCTAACCTGTGCTTCAGTCACTGACTGTCATTTGCCAGGCTTTAAACTTTCTTCTAAAGTCTTGCATTCACTGACAACTACTGTACCCTGAAGACTCTCAGTACCTGAGGCTGTTGGCAAAAAAGTTGCTTTGAAAAACACCAATCCAGTTTAGGAAATGCTCATCCAGTTATGGCCCCTCATTGCTTTGCAAAACTCAGACCAAGTCTTGTATTGGGTTGCTGGTCTGTCCTCGCTGGATAGGTAGCTAGTGGGAATATGGTTTATAAAAGGCCCCAAGTCTGGCATTATTCCCATATTGCTTTTTATGACCTTTCTCAGTGCTCTGTCAGACTCCTCAGGAGTAGGCTTAGGCAGGGTGAGGGCTCATTGCAGCCCTGACCTTATAGAGGGTGCTGGCATTGTGAAGCACTACCTTGTGCTGTGAGTGTCCAGTAGATTTGGAAGTGGTCCTTCCCCTGAGGAGCCACTCCTGTTGGCAGAGCAGTGACTATCACAGCAGAAAAAGGGATGATGACTTGCAGCAATCTAGTAAAACAAGCAGCTTGGGTGAACATTGGACATTAAGCAATGGAGTAAACAAAAAAACCCAAGGGCTGCTCCTTTAGCTTGAACCCAGCACTGTCTCTGCAATTATGGCCAAGGGTACTGGCAAACTTGAATTTCTCTTTAGATCTTTAAAAATTCCACACCTTGGTGCTGAGTATGAAACATCTTGCAAAAGGGACAGAAGTCTGCTGGACATAGGAGATGAGCCAAGCCAAGAAGTTGGCTGAAGTGGGGTAGTGATGCCTTGCTAATCTTTTTTTATTCTAACAAGTCATTTTAGAGCAGTTTACTATATTTTTTTTGAGGGCATAAACTATGCTTTTCCTCCACAAAACTAGAATAATTGTAATAAAATTTAATACAAATTTAAGTTTTTTGGTTCTTTTTCCCCCCGTGACTTTAACTGTTGGGTGAAGGAGGAGGAATGCACTTCATAAGCTAGAAAATAAGGTAACACTCACTGAAGTTTCACACTGGTGCTAGAGCCCAGAAGCAAGAAAGGAGCCCTGCACTGGGAGTAAAAGGAAACCTTACTCTGTGGCTTCATCCACTTGAACCCAGCGGTTCTCAACTTGTTTGGACACATCTTTGAGAGTGCCAGCTCTTAGCCTTTTTTTTTTTTTTTTTTTTTCCTACAGGAAAATTAATAAATTGTTTTTTCCTCAGTTTTTTGCAACAGAAGGCCACAACTATGGATTTCTGTTTGAAATCTCTGGGTTTATCTTGTGAATCTTGTTTTTCAAGCCTAATCATCCTAACATTGCATCACACCCTGTGGTACCCTTGAAAGGATTGAGGCATCCTAGGGTGCGTTCACACCCTGGTTGAGAAGAACTAAAATGATCTTAGCTGTTCTGTAAGGGTTAAGGTCTGCCCTGCCCCTAGCCTTTTACAGTTCAGCCTTTAACTGTCAGCACATTCTCTTGACACCCTGCAGTGAGAAGACCCAGGCCCTGTATATAGCCTGCTAGGTCCTTCCTAACCTGGAAGTAGTGGCCTCTAGTCCTTGTATTACAACAGCTCGTTGCAACCCAACTAGAGATGCAGACACTTGAGTTCTCCCAAGTCCAAGACGCAAACAACTAGAACCAACAAGGAAAGGAATAAGCCATGTTTGTTTGTAATACAACTGCCAGTGTCAGGGATCCTGGTCCTATGGAGACAGCTGTCTGTGGACCATGCCTCTGCAGAGTCCAGGGCTTGCTGCTGTCCCTGGCATTGGAGAGGGACAGGGAGCTCAGGTCATGTTTGTTCAAGGAAAGGTCAGCCCAAGTTTACAGGTAAGGTGCATGACAGTACTGCACTGCTTCAGGGCCTTGGTACTGTCTGACTATTCCAGCCAGCTGGAACCCAACTTTGCTGGCCAGACAGGGCAAATGCAGTTCTGCATTTCATCTTAAAAAGATGAGCAGAGCAGGTAGGTGAATGCTTGCCCATCCCTTGCTGCAGTCAGGTCTTTGTATCCAGCTGGGCCTACTACTGGAGTTCTGGAAACTGAGGATAGCTTCAGATTTTGTGGTGCTGACAAAACCAGCTTTATGAGCCTGGCTACTATTTGACTGCTTAACGTAAGAAGTCTAGGTGGCAGCTAGAGCTGCAAGCTGCATTGGTTTCCATCCAGCAATAATGAGGGGACTGCAGAGCTGGGAATTAACCTTGGGATCGGGGTTGCTGGCTGCTGTAAGGTGTAGGTGCAAGAGAAAGCTTGGGTAGGGCCCAGAGCTTTTGGTACGCAGAGATGTTCCAGCTGGGTAAGGAGGATGTGGAGCTTAGCGTGGAGAGCTTCACTCAATGCCCAAATTCTTCAGCACCCTGCAGACCTCCTTGAGGTACTGGGAATCTGGGTAGCCATTCCTGCAGAGGAAAGAGCAGGTGGGGTGAGACAGTGCCAACTGTGAATAGTAAGAGCACATCCTGTATACCAACTTTCCTAGCCCACCTCCTATACCCTACGATTTTAAGGAGGGAGGCAGAACATAACAGCTTTTCCCTGGCTGCAGCCCTCACAGTGGAGCATGAGACCAGCAACAGAGCTATAGTAGTTGCCACTTACTACCTCACACCTTGCTGAAAGGAGAGGTGTAAAATGGGGGGGGGCATTAGGGAGGGTGAATTGGCGTTCAAAGAAGGCCCTGCCTGCTCTTGCTCAGTAAGGACTAACCAGACAAACCTGTTGCTGCAACAGCTCCCACTGAAGAAAGAGGGCTGTCCTGGGTCAGGTTGAGATTTCCTGTGGTACTGAGCTATACTGCTGTATGGGGGTGGGGTACTAATTCCTTCTTGTAAGCCTGCCTGCCTGCTACAGGTGGTGTAACTGTAATAGGTGCCTGGATGAACCCCAGCACCCAGGTCTGTTGGGTGGAGTACCACTCTCCTTCAAAAGGCAGCCACAGCTGTGAGCCCCATTGTCAGAAAGTACCTGGGTTTGCCCCCTTCCAAGGAGGTCTTGTGAGGAATGGGGCCCCATGTCACTTTCTCTTCCTTGCCATCAGATCTGATCTGGAATGTCAGCCCGTGCTCAAATGCCTTCTTCAGCAGCTGCGCTGTCTTCTTCCCCTCCCGGTTGTCAGGCAGAAAGGCGAGGAAGTGCCCCCCCTTATACGGCCTCCCTGGCCGGGGGTCTTTGGCCTTTAAACAGTAGAGGGGAGGGAAGCTTTTTTGAAGTAATGACTTAGATCGGGTCAGCAACCCCTGGATATGTGCCAAGCATGGCACGCAAGGCCATTTGCTCGGCACACCACCATAGGCCTGGGCTCTAGGCAGCTGCTGCCAGCCATGAAGCCCAGGCTGCTCCCAGCAGGCAGCTGGATGGCTGCAAGCCCTGTCGTGGTTAGCAGCAGCTACCCAGAGCCTGGGCTGGCTGCAAATGGGAGGCTGCAAACATCTGCTCCAGGCTCTGGCATTAGCTCTATACTGGTGGGTTCATGTGTGCCTTGAAGCGGACTTTGTCCAGTGGCCCAGGAGCCCAGCTCCATGTGCCCGCACATCTGGTTCTGTGCATTTGTCTGCCTCTGTCTGGTCCTGTGTGTGCGCACACGTGTCTGGTCCTGGATGTGTGTGTGCGTGTGTCTGTGCTGGGTGTGTTCTGGTTCTGTGTTTGTGCACGTGGTTCTCTGTGCACGTGTGTCTGGTTCTCTCTCTGCTCTCTTTTTTTTCTTTCTCTCTCTCATCTCTTTTTTCTCTCTCATTGCAACATGCTCAACAAAAAAGGAATACACAACAACAAAGGCAACGTTTATGATTATTACATATACTACTATGCAGTGCATCCTGCCACATACACCCTGCCCCCCTCCCACATTTTGTTTTTCTGGCATGCTGGCACTCTAGCACCTTCCAAGGTAGACATTGTGGTTTTTTCAGCACTCTGGCCAAAAAGTGTTGCCTACCCCAACCTAGAAGGTACTGTGGTGGCGAGATGGGCTGTGGGTTAACATTCCCCCTGGAGCAAAGAGGAAGCTTGCAGGAGCTTTTCAGAAGCACTGTATTGCTTTGCTCCCCACTGGACCTATAGGAGGTGCTCCTATCTGGTCCCCTCTGCCCTGCAAAATGGTGACAAGGGAGAGGACAAGTAGCTGGTACTGCTGCATATACAACAACCCACCTGGTTGATCATGTCTACACCAGCTCACCCCTGGGGAAGAACAGTCTGCCCTGAGTGAGGGGGAGGAAGAGGGGAAGGGCTCCTTCACCCCAGTGCTGGTGAAAAAGCAAGCACTGACCTGGGCCTGGGATAGGTGAGTGCTTGGAAGAGACGGCTCCTGAGCACACTTGGCAAGAGTCCAGCAGAGGCTCAGGAAGAGTCCCTACTGGTGTGGGGGTGGGAGTGAGGGCAGGGGTGCTGCATGCCCTTCCTACTGCTAGTAATGAATCTTGAGAGAGGACATGCCAATGTAATGTGGTCTCCAGTGTCCCCTGTCCCTTGCACTGACAGACAGTTGATGCTGCATATGGAGCCACTAAACTCTGTGCACTCATGGGGTGCGCAAGGGGCCAGGACTGGGCAGGATGTGCCAGCTTTGACTTCCTAGCCGTAGCCCTGCCTGACAACTGTGCTAAGGGACCAAGGGTGTGGCGGGGGGGGAGTTACAGTACAGCCATGCAACTACTTGTCCAAACAGCAGCACTACGCTGCCTCCTCCTCAGGAGGAGCCTGCTGGCTCTGTCTGTTTATACAGAGGCAATGTTTTTGGCTGGAGTGCTGAAAAAACTGCAATGTCCACCTTTTAAGGTGTCAGAGTGCCAGCAGGCCAGAAAAACAAAACTAGGGCAGGGGGTACATGGCAGGACACTGCATATTAATATAGTTAATAATAATACATGTTGCTTTTTTCTTTTTCTTTTTTACAGTAAACACCAGGTTTTCTACAAATTCTAAACCTGGTGACAATAAATAAAACTTCATGTACTGTCTTTGTTGTTGTGTATTCTTTTTTTGTTAAGTATGTTTTTGATATGAGAAAGAAAAGAGAAAGAAAGAGGGA